ATTAAAATTATAAAACTTTTTCTCTCTTTAATTTTTTTTTTTTTTTTTTTGAAAAAATTATAGTATAGAGTAGGTTACAAAATATCCCAATCCAATTCATATTTCGAAGTTTTGATGTTCAAAGGTCAAAATTCTTCCAATATATATATAATTAGTCAAAGTTTTGATGTTTATTAGTCAAAAGCTCTTAATCCATTGAATAAATTCAAAGTTTTAGACGTTTGAAAAAGTCTTCATAATCCAATCCATGCATGGTGCAATATATATAAAGATTGTTATTTATACAAGTCAAAGGATAAAATAGCGGTATCCACTTAAAAAATCTAAAATAATGCCCTCGATTTTATTACTCTTTCAAAAGATTTGGCGTATTAAATTTGGAGCACCTAGTTATCGTGTGCATATAAGATCTAGTATTTACCTGATGGAGGAGCCGACGGTGGAGGAGATGATGGACTCGACACGTCGTTGTAAAACAAATAATCCTCGTATCTTAACTTGCAACTCGGTCCAAGAATCTGCGCTCCTGTGTTATTAGTTGATCCACTAGGAATCTTTTCACTAATAAAATCCCCAAGACAATTAAAGCAGTTTCGTTGCGAAAAATCTGGAGAACATTGAGCAAACGCATATATGCTACCAAAGCTTCCGTAACTATCATTTCCAGTTGCAAACTTAAGTCGAGAATCACCCTTCGAAGCATCATTTCGAAGCCTATTTAATAACGTTCCTAGAACTTGATTAAACTGGTTAACGTTATTAGTCACCTTTTTTGTACTCCTTAACGTTGATGAAGGTTGTTCTTCTTGGCTTCCCAATATTGTCCGATTTGCATAACGTAGCATACAATCGTCGTACACCCCGATAGCTTCCTTTTGTGTAATTGTGTTGGGCAGAGTCGTGGAAGCATGGTAATTGAGTTATTAAGACATTTGTAACAATCTTGGAACGTTACATCACCTCCACATAGCGCGATCCCATTAACTTGGTCAGGTTCCTCGCCGGTTGAGAAGTTATAGAAGCGGGAGTTGATTTGAGTGTTGGATGATATAGACGAGAAGAAGGTGTTGAGATTGGCTTCGTATATGCTATGTTGCTTTAGAGGAATACTACAAGAGGGGGGGGGGGTGAATTGTAGTTTAAGAGAGTTGAGCTAACTTTTTGCGGAACTGAAAAATACTAAGCTACAGGAACTCAAAGTGAACACAGAGAGATTTTACGTGGAAAACCTCTTGGCCCTAACAAGAGGAAAAACCACGACCACTTGGGATTTTAGGAAAGATTCTCCACTATAACAGGGAAAACAACCTATTACAAGCTAAAGAATCAATCTTCAAGTTCCTCTATGAACTTGAAGTTCCCAGCAGCAAGTCCCACTACTTGCTGCTCTTCTCTCTCTCTCTTTCTCTTCTAACTTCTCTTAGAGTTCACTCAAACTCCCAATTCCCAAATTACAACTCGATAATAAACTCTAGTGAAAGTAATTAAGAAAAACACTTAAGTGGAATGCGACTCTTGACTCGTTTATGAACAAGAAAGAAGATAAAAGTATTTGAGCAAGATGAAGTTATCCAGAAAATAACTTCAATATTTATAGAAAAATATTGCTTAGAGAAAATGCCACACTTTCCACCACTCACACCACCACTGCTGCATATCAACGCCACTACTCTACACCACTTCCAAAACTTTTAATCGTGTCCTAAAAACCAGGGCACGTTGAGCGTTAAGGAAACAACATGTTCGTGAGTGGAGAAGACTAAATCAACAATCAGTTGCGCAAGCTTAGGAAGTTGGTTTTGCAAAAATATATTTTTCCGAAAATAAATTATCAGCTTAAAAGATAAAATCACAAAAGATTTTCTTAAACAAACTATCCTATTTTTAGCAAGTCAATACGTACTTATCCTTTTTCAAACGCATTCCACTTAGCATTAATCCAAATTATTTTTCATTTACATAGAATCTAAAATAGAAAAATACTTCAGACTTTATGCTTCTCTAAGAAGTCTCTGCTTCGAGTCTTCTTTCCTTAGCTTCTACTCCGAAACTCTAGTTCCTTCACAGGAACTCTTTAGCTGATCTCTTTGACTTTTTAGCTCCTTGTGTTCCTTTGCCTTGAGTGATTCTTGTAACTTATGAACAGACTACAAAGACTAACAAAATACATTAGTCCACTT